ACTCATTCAGAATCAATCACCAAAAGAGAAATAATTTTTCATCAATTCTTATCCAGGTTCATTAAAAACAATCACCAGTAAGAATCAAAATACTCGACTATCCTGCATTTTCTTGCTTCTCTCGTCATGATTTGGTTCTTGATTAACGCTTTTTTTTTTTGCTCTCAAAAGATTTCACCTTAATCAATAACTATTCACCTACAAAGATGGTCTATACATACTGTCCATTCTCGACTCAGTCGTGTCTCATACCACATGTGAAGATCTCCAAGAAATTCCATGGTTTACACTTCAAGATATTATTCTATGCAGCAGTAAGTACTGCTAATTATGATCCACATGTTATTCATGAATTATGTTTTTAACATGCAACCAACTAGAAGATAGAAACGAAAGATTCTTACGTTCATTTCTACGAATCCGAAAAATCTAAAACTACTGGATATACAATATCATCACGTCTCGCTGTAGCGTCGAGACCTTTGCTTAAACAACATCCACATGCAGGAATGTTGTTGAAGGAGTTTGTGAATAATTCTCCTTAGAAACTCTCACTCAAATCATCCCACTTTCAGCACGCAACCACAGCCCCAAATGCCTCCACCCAATGGCACCGGGACATCCAAACTTCTTACTTTTTCTCCGATTCCTTTTTCCTTGGGTGGAGGCATTTGGGGCTGTGGTTGTGAGAGTAGATGGTGGATGATAGATGGAATGATCATAATTTTCGTGACATAGAATAGGAGTTTCACGGTCACCTCCTTGCGCTGCTTCTGAAGCGAAGGCGTCATCAGTCCAAATTCCTTCCATGCCACGCTCTAAACGAACTGGGAGAGTGCTAGTATAGCATATTGGTGACGCGTCAATAAATTAGAAATCTTCGATCTTTTATTCTCTATGCTGCAGTTAAATTATTGAAATGGATCAAGATGAATGGAGTAAGAGTTTTTAGATACGACGGAGTCAGTTTTTGAATATTCTTTTATAAGAGAACCAAATGCGGCGTGAGTCTTCGTCGGATTCACCTTTTTCATAAGAAAAATTTTCACGGTCTGGCTCTCCGTTTTTGGATGCATTGGAAGAGGAGGCGAGGTTCTCTAGGTTCCTATCAGATATCATGAGACTTGATACTGAGATGTGGAAGCACTAGAGAGCCTCTGAATCTTAAGGAACGCGGGTCTTATCGACCCACTCGTTTGCAAAGTCAGCCAACGTCTGGGAGAGGAGTTTGATATAGGGGAATGATAAAGGAAAGAGAAACAATTAGAAAAGAAAAGAGATGAGTAAAATTAAAGCATGTAAGAAAAGTATAGGTATACTTCCAAAATCCCTCGTCTCCCAGCATTCTGTATTTAGAATGTTCCTTCTCATAGGAAGTATCCTCGGGATAGTCACTGAGTTGAAAAACTATCTGAGGATGAGTATGAGGAAGATGGTAGACTTAACCTTCAGCTGGCGGATACTTAATTCGTCGAGCAGAAATGCTCGCGTCGGTGGCCAGTACAGTCCAAGCCGAGCAAGAGGAGAGTTTAGAGCTGATGACTTTTATTTTTCTTTGTCCTGGAATTCGACAAAGGCAGAAAAGAGTGAGAATTGAAGTAGCTACTAAAAGATTGAGATCATAAGTAGCTTCCGATTGGCTGCGGGATTTCGTAAAACTCGTGGTTGAGGAATGAATGTGCTTCATAAACTTTCTTGAGCATGTAGTATATTATCAAGAATATACTGCATGATTGATTTCAAGAAAGTTGAGTTTTCTATCATAACAAGCATTCCTTTAAAGCATTCAGAGTCCAACTTTTCCCGGTCCCGGACGGTCTGTAAATGTGAGAAGGATTGTAATGCTGAAGTGAGTTGCTCCATGCTTGCCCTGCTTGTATCAGCTGCTATCTATGAAGAAGAATTATTGTAAAATAGATCATTGAGGAAGATATAGGAAAGGTACCCGACGAAGCATAGAGTATTTCCACGTACTCGACCCAGCTTTGCCCACATCAGCAGCAAAGCATAAATCGGAAAATTAGAATTTGATGGAAGTTTTTTTATTTTTAGTATTTATTATTAGAAAAAGATATTGATTTTTGCTTAATGTATGATTTTCCTTGCAGCTTGTTCAGGCGTTTCGGCAAACGGACCGACTTTGAAAACTTCTCGAAAGCTTCCTTGAATCGGCCGCTGCAAATGCATGGGATTGTGAACTGTGCTCTTCGGAGTACCTGGAGCAGCGTGCGTTCTTCGAAATTGCGCATTTTAATGATGCGAAGAGCCGGCGATTAGAGTTTCTACCTCTTAGCTTCGTGAACGATGAATAAAAAATTAGTCACCATGTTGTGCATAATTTCTGAAGATCTGCGTTGGTTCGTGTGTTCGTCCATTTGAGAATTAGAATGAGATAATATCCATCATGCATCGAGAATCGTGGTAGAAAGAATTGCATCTGCCACTTTTGGTTGATGGATGATGGATAGCATAAAAGAAGAGATCGAGACGCGGATCGGCCTTCGTTCGTTTCATGACGTCCAAGATGCTGCGCAATTTAAAATTCTCTACGATTACATGAAAGATAACGATATCCTCTAGCGTATATGCTAAGAAACTTCCTTGTTGAAGATTCTACTGAGTTTCCTTATTTGTTTAGGAAGAGGATGATCGTGGAAGCCATAATAGTCACGGAACTCCAGGAAGTCCTGTGATGATTGAAGGATGTGGAAGAAAATATTTATGAGTTTCAACGAGGAGAGAAATGATTTGATAAAGAAGAACAGAAACAGGCTGCGAGAATATTGTATATAATACCATAGTTTGTTTGACAAATGAGTCTGCTGATCCATCTGCAAGCTTCCCTGGATCGCAAGGGACCATCTCCGGTGCCCAATACATCTTCATCTCGTCCGTGAATTCAAAGCTATGCTTTTTACTGCTTGCGTAAAAAAGATAGTGGATGCCTGCTTGGAACATGCAACTGCTGTAATGGAGATAAATTCCATGGTTAGTCTTTGCCCAAGAGGAAGCTTGCTGCCAGCCGAATCTTTATTTTAGAGCGAACGACTATAAAAGAGGAAGCAGATGAGATAACATATTGGAATAGCCTTAACTTCTTGGAATTCCCAGCAGTTACAGCAGCATGGAGATGCAAGTGTCCTGTTTCTCGTGCCTTCTCACGTCGGATGCCCATGATCTTCAAATCTGTCCCTTGAGACTGATTTTTAGAATGTGAAATAGCAGTACTATAAACAATTTTGTTTTTTTGCACAGTGAGAAAAATAATTCTAGAAGCCTTAAGGTGAGCGTTGCGAAGAATTTCAATGTATTCTTCATCCGTGACATCCACTGGACGTAAAATCTGAAGGAAGAATACTTTTCGACAAGTCTATCTATGAAGATTCTTTGCGGGAGAAGTTTGAATCTTCATAGTTAGAATGGTAGAAAAGAATGAAAAGCTCATACTTCGCATTTGGATGGGTCTCCAAAAAAGCATCCGTAGGACAACTGAAGGTGATCATGTAGGAGCTGTAATAATGACCAGAACACTTCGGAGGTCCAGATGGCAGGTCGGTTTGATCTGTTTGTGTGAGGATGAGATCCGTAAATGAGAGATAATTTGTTTTGGAATTCATCTTCTTCGATGTTACCTAAGAACATAAATGAAGCATCACAACAGACATAAATGAAGCATCGTAACAGAGATTTATATTAATGGTACCCCAAACGCCCCAAGGGTAAGCCATGGTGTCAGTTTTTGGCGGCTCCAGTACATTAGTTTCTGGCTCGGACTCCATTTTCGGATTGTCAATGGATGACTCTTGAGTCACTGGAATTCCGCGATTTAGAAATAGTCGTTTAATTTGAGATAACGAAGAAGCGAGCATACGAAGCTAGGTCATTTGTCACACGCGAGCCTTAAAAAAAGATCTGCCATGTCCATATCGAATTGGATCGCCATGTCTTCCATATCCTGGTTTCCTGCTATTCCTTGTTTAGGAACGGGTGCTGTTTTTTTTTTGCTCTTCGGTTGTTCAGCTTCTGGTTCAGAAGCCGACGATGCTTGCGTCTTGCTTGGCTGCTTCTTCATTGGAGGCGCCTTCTTCATGGCTGGCCTCTTCGTCAACTTCTTAGAAACAGGCATTTTTTTGGTTTTAGATGAAGAGACTGCAATGAATTAGTTTGAACCAGTATTTGTGTGCTTCTAAGCAATAAATGAAGCAAGTAGCATGGGATGAAGAAAATGAAATGAGTATCAAAGAATGAAAAAATCAGAAGTATTTTTATTGAATTAGAGCATAAATATGAAAGCCAGAGTTAAAGATAAGAAGACTAGATATGAAGCGAAGAGTCTTACTGAAGCATGCAAGTATGATAGTTGCAGGAAAAAAAGTAATAAAATTGAAAAAATGGGTGCTGGGTGAATGAGGTTTGGTGCTGTGATTTAGATGTATGTGACTTAATGGCACTTAGATGGAAGGACAATAACAGAATTGATCTCTCCTCACAGAATTCAACGCTCTCAACAGAATCAATTGATCTCAACAGATTTGCTTCAGAAGGATACTAATGTAAAAACCGATTTCATTATTCTTGACAGATATTCAATGTGATGACATAAACCTCGTGAGCATTCCATAGAAGTTGCCTTCAATTGAGTCTTAATTTCTCGTAAGGTCTCACACCGCTCGTTTTCGTCATGAACATGCTTTGCAGAGAGAAATTTACTCGAAGAGCATGAGTCACAATGGGACTCATCTCCAGAGTTGAATTAAAATAGATGCTGTTGGTTCGATGTATTCTCCTTCACCTAGACGCATTTGCATCAACGTAGTATGTGCTTCATGTTCGAGAGGTTGTGAATAATAATCTCACCAGGTAGCATGCTGTATAGAAGTCTTCAATTATCTTTCTCCTTCATCGTCTTGATTTAGTCCTTGGTTCGATGTATGTTCAATCACCTAGACCAAAGCAAAATGTCTACATCTGGACGGTTCTTAAGACAAATCTCACCAAGATAAACCTGTGCCCAAAGTCCTTATTCTGCTTTTTTCACATCAATCCCAAGTCCTTACTTCGTTTTCATCAAGTGAAGCAACCTGAAAGTAATTGAGAAAGTAAGATGAAAATATGATGCTCGTTGAAAGAAAAGTTATTGAAATTGCAACAGAAGGCTACGAGAAAGTGGAGCAGTAAAGAAGCAGAAAAAGTATGAGGATCCATAAA